AAAACATACAGAAATTTGAAATGAAGGGAAATGATTGAAAGATTGAAGGAGGGAAAATACACACTCACGCAGGGGAGGACCCAGTTCAGGCCCAGTGCAGGCAAATGGCTGCACTAGAATTTAGGCCACCCCAAAATTTTCAGCAACCCATTACCAAAAAAAGAAACGAGTGTCCCAATTATTTGGCCCAAAATGTATACCACAAGCCCTTAGCCCTACATCCCAACACTAGCCCTGCAATCTCCACAATACGCATATGCTGTACGAAAATTTCCCTGAATCCACGCTGCCAACGCCGACCACTGCATCCACCGTCCACGCACCGTTGCAGCGTTCATCTGGTCGATGAGTTTTCTATAATTTCAATTCGTATTCTGTATTCATTTGTCATCCAATTCAATAAATTGAAGGCGAAATTTAGAAATTGTGTATGAAATCAATTCATGTTGGTTTTTTTTGGGGATCTGTTTTGTAATTGATTATGGATAGATTTGAAATTGATTATTAATAGAGTATATGCAGTGGGATTATTAATAGAGCATATGCTATAGAGTAAAATTTAGAAATTGTGTATGAAATCAATTCATGTTGGTTTTTTTCCGGATCTGTTTTGTAATTGATTATGAATAGATTTGAAATTGATTATTAATAGAGTATATGCAGTGGGATTATTAATAGAGCATATGCTATAGAGTATTGGATTTTGGCCATTTGGTTGTAGTCAAATAATTGCATCAGTGGAGAATATTTTTGATATTTCTTCTTGTGCATCACCTTCTTGTTCGTACTCAGTCTTGACAGAAAAATTCGACAAATCCATTCCTGCTAAAGAATGTGATGAAGCAGCTGAATTCGTAATGAGCGTTCTCTTCTTTTCACCATTATTTCAACTCAATCTTTTCAAATTTTCCTTCTCAAGATTCATGCGAGGTAAATTCTCTGGATCCTGGACTCAAATTAACCTCTTCTTGTTCGTACTCAGTGTTGTTGGCTTGTTGCCGTTGCTGTTGCCTGTGGCCACGGTTGTTTGGGGAAAATTTTGAAGGAAAAAGATACACTTACAGAAC